CAAAGACGCACTACTCCAAGAACGTGGACAGCGACACGCTGGCCGACGACTTCCACGTGTACACCCTGTACTGGAGCGAGGCCGGCTTCCGCTTCCTACTCGACGGCGAGCTCATCGGCGAGCGGCCCGCGCCCGAGGAGGGCTTCTGGAAGCTGGGCGGCTTCGAGGGCCAGGACATCTGGAGCGGCAAGAAGATGGCGCCCTTTGACCAGAAGGTATGTATGGGGGCAGGGCACCGGCCACTACACGACTGACTTTGCTGATGACCGGCCTTGTTCTCAGTTCTTCATCATCCTGAACCTGGCCGTCGGAGGCTCCTTCTTCAGCGACGACCTCCACAACGAGCCCCACCCCCGGCCGTACAACCTGAGCTCCGGGCACGCCATGAGGCAGTTCTGGGAGAACAAGGACTGGTGGAAGGACACCTGGCAGGGCGAGAGCGCCGCGCTGCAGGTGGACTACGTGCGTGTGTACCAGTAGTGAGGGCTGCCTCCGGCGGCCCCCAACGCCGCGCCCATTGATTCACTGTGATACGACACTGTAATAAAAGGAAATTAATAAAATCCACTCTACAACCCATTACTCTATGCATCTGCCTGGACGATGTGATTTTGTACACCGAACCCCAAAAACCAACTCAGCCTGTCATTTTTAGAATTTGTCTGGTGCCCCAATTGGGGCAAATATCCACAATGTAAAAATAAAGGGCAACATTCTGGAGCGAGTAAGTGGGGCCAGTGGAAAGGGGGGGGGGCGCTGTCAAAACACAACCGACATGGCCTTGCAAGACAGCTTCATCTGGACAGGTTTCAGCCGCACGCAAAAGTTCTCATAACATAGTCTCGCGCAATCCGCCGCCACCCAGTGCGCCTCTCACACGAGGGCCTCTAGAATGTGGAGGGGGGCGTGTGGGGTGACTCGGGTGTTTGTGGTTTGTGTCAGCAGCCCATCAGCCGATCAACTCCACGACAGGTTCTTGCTTGAGCTCTTAAGCCCAGAAGTAGTACAAACTCGGGCTGTAAGAGGTCGAGGAATTTTCATTTCTCCGTTGACCGGTGTCCCAGGTGAACAATCAATACCTTTTTGTCACTGCATGTCTGTGTTTTACCCATTGCACATACGAATCCCAAGTCTCCGTAGTTTAGTTGCACCGGTGGTCATGATTATTGTTATAGCGTATCGTGGACTTTGATACCAATATTTTGACAAATCATTCTGCTTTGTTGCATGTTACCTTGCGGTTTTATGAGTAGCTGTGTATCATCAGTACAGCTCGCTGTTTCCCTTCAAGGAAACATATTTTTATGAACCTGTTGATTTAATTTAAAGCTTCAAAATTATTCGCAGGTAATGGTAGCTGTGTTCACCGACCCCTCTCTTTATCAGGGGAAGGGCTGCTTTGTATATATACAATTTTGATTGATTGCCTTGATGCTTACCAACATTCTGCACACATTTACGTGACTGATTCAATTTTCAGTCTTGCTTTTATCAGTCAACTGATATATTCCTGTGTGTTTTGTCATTCGCTAGGCTGGCAACTATGGCTGAGAAGCTGAGATTCAATGGACGAGTCGCTGTTGTCACAGGAGCGGGAGCAGGTAAAATTTCAGTTTGTGTTAATATGTGAAGCCCAACAAATTCCGAAAGACTGAAGCTCTACTACAGAATGCATGGCCATGTTGGGGTCAAGATTGAGTCAGGGTGTTTCATGATTAATCTTTCCAACTTAATTATTCATGTAAAATTGAAATTAACATTGTTTAAAACAAAGAAAAATCGTTTTACAGGTTTGGGACGAACCTATGCTCTGTTACTGGCTGAAAGAGGGGCATCCGTTGTTGTGAATGATCTTGGTGGAGGGCGTCATGGCGATGGAAGCAGTACTAAAGCTGCTGACACAGTTGTTGAGGAAATCAAAGCTAAGGGTGATTAATAATTCTCAGTCAATTTTCTTCAGTTGACTTTAAAATCTTACTTTCATTCTTATTCTTATTCACTATCATGTCTCAAAGGTGGGAAAGCTGTACCAGACTACAACTCTGTTGAAGATGGAGAAAAGATTATTCAGACTGCCTTGGACAACTTTGGCAGAGTTGACATCTTAATCAATAATGCTGGAATTCTTCGAGACAGAACATTTGCTCGCATTAGTGATCAGGATTGGGGTAAGACTTTGTTTCCTCATTCTAGATTAGCACTCGCATTCCTCTGTCCTCTATTCGACGTCTTATTTTCTAGATCTTGTTCACCGGGTCCATCTAAAAGGGTCTTTTAAAACCACTCAAGCTGCTTGGCCTCACATGCGCAAACAACAATATGGACGCATCATTATGACCTCGTCTCAGTCAGGTCTTTGTGGCAATTTTGGCCAGGCAAACTACAGGTAAAGGCAAAACCATAAATAATCTTACATTTTTTATTATTGTGTTATCAGGCTCTCATTTTAATGTCTTTTCTACTCTAGTGCTGCCAAGTATGGATTAGTTGGACTGAACAATACTCTTGCCTTGGAAGGAGATAAATACAACATTCATTGCAACACTATTGTGCCCACTGCTGCTTCAAGGTTGACTGAGGATATTCTACCCCCTGACATGTTTGCTGAATTGCGCCCTTGTCTGATTGCCCCTGTAGTAGCCTGGCTGTGCCATGAGTCTTGTGGAGACAATGGCAGTATCATTGACTCTGGAGCAGGGTATGCTGCTCAATGTCAAATGTACCGAGGTGAAGGAGTTAGTTTGCGTAAGAGAATAACTGATGATCTCTCTATTGAGGATGTGAGAGATTCATGGGAGAAAGTAACGGACATGTCCAAAGCTACACCTTTGACAACAATTCAAGCAGCCACATCAAACTTAATGACTGTTCTGGAAGAGTTACGGACAGCTCCTGCATCTGGAAAAGTTGTTAAGGATAAATTCTCCTACACTCCTAGAGATTTGATCATATATGCTCTTGGTGGTGAGTGCCTGCTTGATTTGTCATGGAAACTGTTGCAGTTCTTAATCATTTTCACATTTTGTAAGTGGTTTGTATTTATTTTTATAGTTGGTGCTTCTACTAAGAATCCTGACGACCTTAGATTCCTATATGAAAATCACGAAGACTTTGCTGCTTTGCCTAGCTTTTACATAATTCCTGGACAAATGGTGGGAATGTTCTCCGGTCTTATTGATAATGCTATTCCTGGGAAAACTGTTGATCCCACTCAGGTAGACATACTATTTCAAAAATAATAATAATACATATCTATGGACTCGTAGTTTTTAAAAATAACATTTTCTTTCAGTTGCTGCATGGAGAGCAGTTTGTTGAAATCCTGAAACCCATCTCAACATCTGGAACTCTGACAAATCAATGCCAGATTGCTGATGTTCTGGACAAGGGAAGCAAGGGAGCTGTTATCCTCATGGACAGTAAGCAAAACTGATGTATTTTCATTTATTTAAATTTCATGATTAATGAATCTGTTAAACTGATTTTCTATTAATTTATCAATTTTAGTTGACACCTTTGATGAGGAAGGTGACCAAGTTGCACACAGCCAAATGACTGTTTTTATAAGAGGAGCAGGTGAATTTGGTGGACGTCAATCATCAAACAAACAAATTATGTGTGCTGATAGACCCAAGAGGAAGGCAGATGCCAGCCGAATTCAGGCTACAATCCTAGACCAGGTTTGCTCAGTTTGATCACCTAGAAAATTTGATCTTTATGTTCTTGGTTTTAATCCTTTTTAAATTTTTCCATTGCCAGGCTGCCTTGTACCGCTTGTCAGGTGATGCGAACCCACTTCACATTGATCCTAACTTTGCATCTATGGGAGGATTTGATAGGCCAATTCTTCATGGAATGGCCACCCTTGGTTTTGCAACTAAACATGTTCTTGAATTATATGCTGGCAATGATCCCTCTTTGGTGAAAACCATCAAGGTAACTTAATTTTCTCAAATATTTTTAAGTGTCTTTTGGGCTCTTCTAAATCTCTGTGTATTTTGCTGCGATATGTCCACTCGACCTTCATACTTAATGCTAGGATCTTATCTCCAATCTTACCTAATAATCTTTCCATATGCACCACCTGCAGATAATATTGTCGCCTCAATAGACTTTCATTCTTCTACAGCGTAATACCACTGACAAACATGGTACCAGAAACTGACTTTTGCTTCTCTTATTCCTCATTCCTCCCTAATCAGTCCAGTGACCTGTTCTGTAAATATTCTGTAATGAGTAAACTAATTCATTCATTCATGCATTCATTCATTCATTCGTTCGTGGGTTGGGTAGGCCTCGAATCGAGGTGACGGAGGTCAATGAAGTGACCGGCCGGTCGAACCGTCGGGTAGACATATCTAGCACCCTGGGAAGGCTTTCAAGTATTCAGATTGCCTTTGCAGCCTGCATACAGCTTTATAGTCCCAACAGGAAGCTCAAGTGATCTTTGCTCTTTGTCCTTGGACTCTAGTGCCTGAGTGGCAGTGGCCTGAGCTGAGTGTAGTGTGTGTGACTGCCCCTGTGTGTGTGAGTGAGGTGCCGTGTGCGGTTGCGCCTGCGCGCGCCTCTGTGTGTGTGTGTGTGTTGGTGTGTGTTAGTGTGTTTAGAGCTCTCTACTCAGCACATTCTTCTTCATTCAGGTAGCAGCAGTCTTCGTGTTGAAACGTAGATACAAAAATCTGAAGGTGTGATTTCATTGCTATGCACTGTTGAAAAACTGTCAGTCAAATAGGTCCTATGACAAGGCATATCTTCATTGCAAACTTTAACCTCATGACGTTTTTTCAATCCATGTTTTTGGTGGGGACAGCTTTAAGTTTGAGTTGACAGTTGCGTTCACTTCAGTCAGTGTGAAGATCTAGGACCAGAACAGAGCCAAACCTGTTCCAATTCAAATTTTTAATCTTGAGTGTTTCATTTGTTCTTTTAGGTTAGATTTACTAAGCCTGTATTACCCGGCCATACGCTGAAGACAGATATGTGGCGTGAAGGACACAGGATTCACTTCGAAACATCAACCATTGAAACTGGAAACATTGTGATTTCTGGTAAGTTGTTCTTAATTTACAAATTATTTTTATACCTCATCTGCTCTTTCTTTGTGGGTACAAAACAAGTTACGTAACGCAAAACCAGAACCAAAGTTAAATTTGTGGCCTCAGGTTAATTTTGTTAACTTCCGGATTAAAATAGCCCAGTTTGATCTGATTTTCTTAAATAGCAGATGATGGCAGGGTATGTATTGCAATGTTGGAATTGGACTTATAAGCAGTTAATGCATTTTATCAGGTGCCTACATGGATCTTAAAGAAGTTCAACCTGCTGTAAACCTTCATAAGGTTGCAGCTGAATCTTTAAAATGTGAGGAGATGTTCAATGATATGAGGAAGCGCATGGAGGCTGACCCTGCCACCGCAAAGAAAATCAATGGGGTTTTCCTGTACAATATCACTAAAAATGGTCAAGCTGCTGGGAAATGGGGTAAGTGAACGGACTTATTTTTGTGTAATGAACTTGTAGAAACTAAGTTAACTATATAACATTTTTCTAAGTACAGTTGTTGACTTGAAGCAATGTAAACTTTACAAGGGAGATGCTGAGCCAGGTGTCAAAGTGGACACAACTCTAACTGTAGATGATCAGGATATGATTGACATTGTAAGTAATTTTAGAATCTCTTAGGTATGTTCTTATTGTGATTGATTCCTCCTCAGCTCTTATTGATTCATTGATTTCCTTTCTTATTAGACTACTGGAAAGCTCAATCCTCAAGTTGCGTTCATGAAGCAGAAGCTCAAAATCACTGGCAACATTATGCTCACCCAGAAACTTCAAGGTTTGTTGAAGGCACAGTCTAAACTGTAATTGTGATATTTTAATTATAAAACTTCAAAGTTTCCATAGTATATGTCATCTGTGACAGTTATTAAAATTTTCCTTTGACACTCAAGAACTACTGTAAATTCAGAACTTAGTGTTCCACTGTTATTTGCATACTGGAGCTTGTGGTGCATGGCT